TATATATATTTATAATGATTTTAAGGAGAATAAAAGGAAAACTAAAAGTGTTAATAAATACGAAATTGCAAAAGAGGAGACGAACGAATGTAGTAAAGATGCAAACCGGTTGTTGGTTGTGAGGTATGTGTTGAAAGCTCGCTCGTTATGATGCCTCCATTTCCCATCTCTAATCGTGGGAATTCCCACAGCCTTTATTTTAACGAGCTCATTCCATTCTCACGCAACTTCTCTCTATTCCTCACGTATCATCATCATATTTTCCTCTTGTCTCATCCCACCTTCTTCTTATCTCCCTGCCCTTCTATTTTTCCACTTTTCTTCCCGATTTCATCCAGCTTACCTTCACCAAAGCAACTAACTAACTTGCCGCTCGACTAACTGACTATTTTCATCTTCTCTATTCCAATATCGCAGTGGTTTTGTAGATTTTCTGACCCAAACTGTGTTACAATAATTATGTTTGTTGTCACCCTTCTTTTTCCCATGTCCGATAAGATCACCATGCACTACTCTTATTTCGTCATTGTTCATGTCTTGTGTTGTACTGTTTGGCCGTTTTGTTATTTCTATCTTTGAAGCTTCATTATTACAGTTCTCCTAGATAAACCATAAATGCTAAATTTACTACCATTCACTCCCATAGTTTCTTTTATTTATATTAATTTAAGGCATTATTGTTTCTGTTAAACATCAATAATTCTGTTTGCTTTTTTTATTTTTAGTCAACAAAATTTCAAGCTTAAATTTAAGAAGCAAATTGTTTTCGGATCTTATGAAAATGGAGATATTCCATAGTTTGTTGACAACATTACTTTCTTTAAAATTTTTGTACATCCTAATATAAATAATTTTCACTCGAGTGTTGGCACCTTATTTGTATTATCTTTCTATTTTTGAAAGTATGTAGTTCATATTATACTCACAATATTTTTCAAACCTAAGTTTTGTAACTTAGCTTGAGATATGACAATTTTGAATGCATTAATGTCATTGCTACAAATAGCAATTTTACTCAATGCCACTATTCCTTTTTTTTTCGTTGAGAATTTAAAGAGACATGTTCTTAGAGTTTTTCTTTTTAGAAATTATGTTTCAATGAACTTGTAGGTAGTCATTGCGATCTCTCGTTTTTTGTACTGACGTTTAAATGAAGGACGTAAAGCATGAACATTGCGAGGTCAGTTTTCTATATTGCTTTCACTATATATGCCTATAAAGTATAGATCTGTTCGATTTGCATTTGAAAGTTGAGCAGCTCTTGTGATCCATAAAAAGTTCACAAGTTACTGATATTTTGATATTTTATTTTCGTTTTCGCCACCAACTGTCATTTCTAGATTTTTGTCCTCATTTTATATCTTACAATCTATGCAATTATTATATTTTTTAAGGCGGAAGCAGTTTATCCTATTATATCCGCTGATTCAAATTCTCTTTTTGCTTTGATGTGGACTCAGAATCTTGCAGCTCTGGCGGCTGGAACAAACACTAATGTCTCAACTAACTCGTTAATGCACCCTGTAAGATTCATTTTCTTGGTATTTGGTCACACAGTTGAGATTGCAATCAAACAATAAACATTCAGTCCATTGTTTGTTCATAGTATCGTAATTGATTATCACTGCTTTTTTTATATTGCTTAGTGCGGAAGTTCAGTTGTTGTATTCACATCAACTTCAGCAGAAATCTTTTTAAGCAAATTTTTCCCTTCAAACTCGAGTGTGTAGTTTATAGTAATGCCTGTAATAGCGACATCCATTTATATTTTTTTGATAAGCTACGCAGACTCAAGTTACAGTAATCTATTCATCCTCATTAGTCACTTATAGTTAGATCAAAATGCTAGTTAGATTATTCGTTTGTCTTCATTTCTGCTTTATCATCTAAGGTCATCGAATTATGTGTCCGGTCACTCTTGTTATATTCTTGGCATGCATGAGTGGAATGAATAAGAACTGTCTCATCTTATTAGCTGGTAATTATCGAGTGTTAAGAAAATTCACGACTTGATTGTTGTAGTCTTTTGTTTACAGCAATTTAACATTTAAAGAAGAAACATTTCGTGAAATGCTATCTATTGTTTTTTAAAAGATTAATGTGATTGAAGGTAATTGATCGATATCACCACTCTAATATTTTTTTTCCAGCTACTGAACTCGACATCAGGCACTTTGCAGCAACTCAATCCACTTTTGCAGACACTCGCCGTACAGTCTGGACTCAGTTTTGCAGCAGCAAAATCCATCGCAGTTCTACCACCTGCAATAAATGTAATACTTGTGGTGTATATTTTGATAAAGCAAGGTTGTTTCAGTAATGGAAGTTTGTACTAAAGTTTGAATAAACAGTCAAACAACTCATTCATAAATAAATAAAGAAGTGATTTTGATCTGAAATCATTTAATTAAGAGAAATCATACAGAAATCAACTATTAAATCAGTTCGACATTGCAGCGAGTCTATAAATTTAAATTACTCTATGGATAAGAGAGAAAAATGCAATATTTTGTTATTTCTGATCTGTATTTTCTTTTTTAGTTGCTCTTTGCCATGAGTAATGTGTTGTTTGAATAAGATTTGAAATATTTTTTAAAATTCAGAACCATGAAAGATAACTGCAAGTGAAAAACAAATGATATACTTTTTTAGTATACCAAGTGTGATCTTTACATCAGTTAGTGCTGTTAATAGTATTTAGTATTTACTTTGTTATAATATCATTTTGCCTCTAAAAACTTTAAATTATTTACTTGTACTAAGTTTCTGGACGTTTTGGTTAATCAAAATTCGCTGTCTATTCTGATTATTACCGATTTCTTCGTAGACTGTTCACCCGAATCTGTCGTAATTATAGAGGGATCTAATGTCGGAAATAATTGTTATTCACTTATTAAGTTGTTAGTGCCTTGAGGCCTCCAGTTTATTTTAATGCTGAGAAACATAGTTCATGCTGTGATAGAGTATAAAAATTAGAAAATTTATCTGAAAAAGAATGGAGCAGGAATAAGCTTAGAGCACCATGAATTTCCACTATTTGCACCAAATCTTTTTCTTGAACTAATCATGGGATTAGCATACTTTTTGATTATTTGGTCGTATAGTTTCAACAAGTCATATTCAAGCTTTATTTGCTAATTTATTTGTTACGGATTTTTGTTGTGTCACCAATGTAATTGGCGAATTTCATTCCACTTCATCCTTAATTTTTTTGAAGAAGAAAAACTATTTTCTCATTTCATAAAACAATATATTTTCCGAAGTATTCAGGATCTTTTTGAGATATCAAATATTAATCAACATCTAATATTTTCAAGATTCATTACTTTTATTTCATTACAACGCATTTCGCACAGAAACTTACTCCTCTGTCTTTCAAAGAATTGTTTGAAATTTGGAATTTGTATGTTTATAGAAAGAGGATGAAAGCATGGATAAAGTACGCTGTAAGAATTCTAGTAGTTCAACATCAACTGGAAGTGGGAGTGAGCATGATGCAAAAAGATTAAGGCTCGGATCTCATTCTCAAAATCCCTCCACATCAGAACCTGTTAATATTGCTTCAACAACTTCTACTGACGTTGCGCCTTTCAACAATGATATTTCGACAGGTAACATATGATCATTCACAATTTCGTATATCTGTGAGAGCAGTTTTGTGTATCTTTACTACAACTTAATGACGTTGCGACTTGATATCTTTTATAAATTTGAAGCATAGCTGAAATTAGAAAAGCAGTTTGATGAATGCCTTCTTAACAAAAATATTTTTACTTTTTTGGTGTAGTATGAAGCATTCGCAGTATTTATTCATTTGTTATTGTGCATTTGGCGTATGTCGTCCAGACTTCAGGAAGTTCAGTAAAACCTCTATTTTAATCATACACTGTTGACCTCCGATCGGAGAACTGGTTTTTTTCAGTTACAAAGTTCAGAAATATAGTTTGGTGCAGACAAGTACATGTATTTATTTCAGATGAAAAAATTTGTAGACAGAAAATTGTTTTCTACGAAAAATGATGATAATTTTTCTAAAAGAAAGCGAACTTTTTGCAGCTTGTATTGTTTGGAGCTTCTTAAAATGATATTCTAGTCAATACAAATATCGATATTACTATATTCATAATTTTCAATTTTTCTGACCTAGTTTTTTTGATCATATGTGAAAAAACTTATTCCGGGTAGGAAAAGTTTTTGAAAGTCATTTATTTTCATATTTCATTACTACTTTTGAATACTTTGCAATTATGTGATTCTTCGTCTCAAAAGTGGTACTCAATATGAAGGTTTAAAAATAGATTTGTGTTTAATGTGTGTGAGTTAGCATATTGACTTTGTTGTTTAGTTCATATGGAATATGAGTAGTAAATTTGTAAGTGCCCTGGGTGGCGAGGTTGGTGGATTACAGTAGCAGTGAGGTTAAGTAGGTTTAGTGTGTCGCGCTTAAGAATCAATTAAGGAATTGAATAAGTGTCATCTGGAGACAAATACTCTATTAGGCAATCATTATTGCACCGGGTGTTTGCCACAGACACATTGTCATGCATTTATTTACGATAAGAGTAGGTAAAGGAGTCTAAGAACGGAATTATACCCCTTTTTACCGCAAAATCTTAGTGATACAGAGGATACGTTTGCCACGATGCGTTAATTAAATTGCTATAGTCTCAGTATCAGTCTCAGCGTTATATCGACTTTCTTTGTTGATCATATGAAATTTTATGCTTACGGATCTGTTTGGAAAGTAATGAAGAATCATAATAGTTGGATGTCAAAGGAGACAGTTGTTAGATTGTGCGAGGCTTTGAATTGTGCATAGTGAGGAATGGAATATGTTGTAGATATTTGAGGATATATTCATAAACATTGCGCTTGCATTTAACTTTTGTTAGCTAATACAATTCATGCTAGAAATGCTGTAAGGTAATTTCCAAAATGCAAGTATGACTGGTTGTTCTGTAAAAAGTGCTTAAACTGTTTCAGCTTGGAAAGGGAAATATTTCTCAGTTGTTTGGATTATGTGAAGTGGTTGAGGTTTAAGAAATTTATTAGAAAAAGATTGTAAAGAGCAGTGTTCATTTTGTGCTTGAGATTGATTTATTAAGAATGGCTGAATGGAAAAAGTTATATACACATGGTGGAAGCAAACTTACTGAGATATTATAGTAAGCACACCACTACGGTAGCATTCGAGTCATTGCATTTCAATGTAACCTTTATGAAATTTGTAATTATTATAGTATTTGTAGTTTTATAGAATTTGTTTGGTGGATTATTTGCGCGAGGTGCATTAGTGACCGAAGAAATTTCAGTAGTAATATTTGAGCAAATTTATTTGTATAGTAAGAGTGTAAAGGGAATAGTTTTGTGGGAAAGTAGTGTGTTTGGCTATCATGAGGAGGAGGGAATAAATAGGAAATAACTGAGCAAAGTATGGTTATGGCTAGTTTAATTTCTATCATTATCAGCTTAGGAGTACGTATAGGTGGGCATGAAGCATGGAAGGAAGTGTGTCTGCTTGGGCGCATGTGAGTTTGTATATTTGTAAGCGTAAGGAGAGAAGATAAAATTTCATGATATGCAGTTTGGAGATTTTCGAAGAAGGCTGCTGCTGGGCTGCTTTCTGAGTTCATTGTCTCGTTTGTTGGTTATCTCAAGCGTGGGAAGAAAGTCCATATGTTGTGCATTCACTCACTAACTCATTCATTTATTTATTCATGCATCTATCTCTCTAATTGTGCACCTTGGATGTGAGTGTATGATGACTTAACCCTGGTAAGAAGACATGAACAGCTCCGACAAGCCTCGTCCCCTGTCTCATAAGCGGATAGGCCCCGCCTCGCTAGCTTACTTTCTTTTGCGCCTTATTATCTTTATTCTATCCAGCAAATCGTCGTCGCTTTCCATTTAAGGAGAAATGAAGTGAAACATTTGAGGGTGGATGTTGTTTCACAAGATCTACTCTGTTCTGTTCAGCTCAGCTTAGCTTCATCAACCACTGTAATGAAAGAAGCATGATGCATTATTACCGCTTTTATTATTGTTATTACTTCTACTATTACTATTAAAGGTGCCAAAAGATTGTCTCAAGGAATGACTTCATATCATTCGTAACATGCTAGTATACATTGTTGGGAGAATTGGTTAGATTCTCTTCAGTTCTCCCTGTACCGATCATATATATTGTTATCACCTATTTAGCATGGATTATGCATCACTTCCTTTACATCCCACTGATAATAACTTGCAAATCCAATTACCGGTAGCTACTACTACGCAAGGTTTTTTCACTCATCTCACCACTTTACCTTCAATTGATACTGTACCATCAAATCATGCTTTTCCACCCATTTCTTCTCCCACTAATTACAGTTCTTCTTCCTTTGCTGAACTTGATGCCACTCAGCTCTCCAGTACTTCTTATTACTATTCACAATATCCTAATTTGCATTCTCAGTCTTTGTGGCCTTCGGTTGGAAATCAAACGACTCTTTTTCCTTATCATCAAATTCACCAACAAAATAACCAGCAGTTTTTATATGCACCTCAGCAAATCCTGCATTGTCCAACGACGGGTATTTTATTGATTCTATTTACTTGTAATTTTTTTCTAATGATTTGATTCATTGTCTTGTATGCTTGTCTTCAATTATCAAGTCACTTGGGTTCAGAAGTATTTTTTGCTAAACCTTATTAGCTGTTATTAATGTTCATATGGTTATTTCATTAAATCTACTACATTAAATGAGTAATTTTGGCTTTTAAACTACAAAATCCTCAGTTTTCATGCCAATAATGATCTTCATCTTCGCTACCTATTTTTAACTCTTTAGTACTAGAATTTAATATTCATATCATTGCTAAGAAGAATGCTCTGAATTCCGGAAATTTGCAAATTTAACAGATCAATTTTGCGGTCTAGTAAAGATTATTTTTGTAGATATCGAAAGTCGTGAAATTAAGCGAACACAAACAATGCATTAAATACATATTACATTGCTCATTCTCTCATGGTGGTTTTTGTCTTCTTTATAGAAAATCTTATTCAGATTCTTGCTATGGAAGCATTTCATGCTCAACCGGCACCACATTTGGGTCATCTACTGGTGTTTTTGATTCATTCAGTGGTATTAGTGCTGGACTAGCATCACAGTCAAATGTCAACCATACTGCTGCATTGAATGTTCCTCAGCAGTTACCTTTTTTGAACATTATTGGTGAGCAGCAATCGCTTACCAGGTATGGTACTATGAATTATTCAATTATTCTATTTTACGATCAAACACTACAAATGAATGTGAGAAGGACTTCTGTAAAGTTTTATTTGTATATATGTTTTTTCTCTTAGTGATCATTTAGTTTTCGAAAGTGTTTTTCATTATAACTCGTTCTACTCTTGACGAGTAAAAAGTTCGACTTCCATCAAAATTGTCAACTCATCCTACTAGTTGTCGCTTTTTGATATAATGAATTAACTTTACAGAGAAGTGATGCAGGACTATCTGAATAATAGTGAAAAATATGATTGCATTGTTTGTATATTCCATGCCAAAGTAGCCCAAAAATCTTATGGAAATGAAAAAAGGTTGGTGATTGATTCCACTGCTGCGTGGCACAATTTGGCACAATTTGTGTGAAATTGTTTTTTTTGTGGCTTGGATTTTCACGACTTTATAGATTCCTGCACGAAGGCGTTGCTGTAGATATTATTAATGGTCTTTTTACACTGCTTTTTTGTGTTTTTCGAACTTATTCATTCATTCCAATCAATGGCGACTCATATTTTTTGTGAATCATAATTAGCCGAAGTTGTAGAGAGAGTTGAATATTAGTTTGGAAGATTTTCCTTATTGAAATTCTCAGCAAAACATTGTAATTCATCCAACTGTAGGCAAAGGAAGGAATTGGAGGAGGAGATTATTCAAGGTAAGCTTAAGAATATGAAAGAGTATCTATTTATCCATGGCTAGTGTCTCTGCATTAATAGCTTTATCGACAATGTTGGTGTTGAGAAAGATTTGCTGTTAGCGCCACTGACTACCGTACTCGAACCGACAAATTCTTCATCCTTTTTTATTTTCCCTCTTCTCCGACTGGCTGTTACGAATGTGTGCTGCATATACCGTATACTTTTGCCTCAATCGATTGTTCCTCATTTAATAATCACTGCATATTATTCCACTACTCATTATTTTCATTTCACAAAGTTAAAGGAACTCGGAAAATATTTGCATGTGTCACCTAACGTATAATTGATAGAATTTATATCAACTACAACTTGGATTTATAACTTTTTTACTTATAAAAACAGCTTCAAACTCTGTCAAGTACTGTGAAGCAGTTGTTTGAGATCTAATAGAAACAGATTTTGCTGAAGTGTTATATTAGTTATTTCAATCTTCAAATTAAAATCGCGAGTCAAATATTCAAATAAAATTTTCTATAGGTTACAAATTCAAATATACGATTGATGCGATATTTCTTATATCCTCGTATTTATAAGCATATTGGATTGTGCTTTTTTATTTTTGTTTTTTTTTTATTTCTGTTAGAGAGCAGTGTTTTAGATTTTTCTGTCCGCCACCATGCATCTATCTTTTTGGAGATGGATGGAAGCATAAAAAGAAAATGGCGGAAGATTTATACAAAAGATATCGTGAATACCAAAAGCGAAATGGGATTCAAGAGCCAGATTCAGATGCTCAGCAGCACATAAATCAAGTCCGATCCACTGAATTGTGTGCATTTATTGGAATCGGAGCACCGTCTGAACAAGAAAAACAAACACTTGATTTTTCGAGTAATAAGGTTTGTTTTGTAAATACACAGTCTAATTTTAAATAAAATGGTCGCTTATACTGTATCGAAATGTATCGAAAGAATATTGTTTCTGTATCGAAAGAATCTTTGTTTGTATAGTAGTAATGATGATTGTCAATATAAATAGTCTCTGAAGTATTTTTGAGATGTTTGATTTGAGGGATTGTTCTAAATAGTGATTCAACATTTTTTGTTCAACTTGTAATTTTTGCAATTTTAGGATTACTGTGCAGCAAAAACATTGTATATCTCGGATGCTGATAAGCGCAAGTATTTTGAGCTTTCAGTGCAGTTTTTTTATGGGTCTGGCCATGAAATTGGAGTTTTCTCTTCTCAACGTATCAAAGTTATCAGTAAACCAAGCAAAAAAAAGCAAAGTATGAAAAACACAGATTGCAAGTATCTATGCATCGCTTCTGGCACTAAAGTGAGCATTTATTAAGCCTTAGTGTATATTTTAAGATTTAGATGTTAAGGAAATTCGCTCTATTCGTTGTTCCAGGTGGCCTTATTCAACAGACTTAGGTCTCAAACGGTCAGTACACGTTATTTGCATGTTGAATCAGGTGGTTTTCATGCGAGTTCAACAAAATGGGGCGCTTTTACAATCCATTTGAGTTAGTGATCTAATTATTAGTTTTCACAGGTATCACTGAAAATTGTTTTTTCATTCTGAACATTTTAGTTGAGGATGATTCCAGTGCAGGGGAAACGGAAGATTTCAATGTTAAGGATGGTTTCATTTATTATGGAGCTTTGGTAAAACTTGTTGACAGCGTTTCAGGAATTGCTTTGCCTCGTTTGGTATGTATTATTTTAGCTCATTATCCCGTAACAGTCATGAATTGCAATTGTGATTCGATAATTTGGTGTCATGTTACTAGAAACAATATCAACTTCTAGAGAATTCGAAAAGTTGATAAACAACATGTGGTCCTAGATGCATCAGCTAGTGAGGAACCAGTCAGTCAGCTTCATAAATGTGCATTTCAAATGATTGATTCAGATACGATTTATCTTTGTCTTTCTCACGACAAAATCATCCAGCATCAGGTAAATTACGTAGATTACGTAAGATTTAATAAATTGTTCTACATTGTGTATAGTACTTTGGGAATATTTTCTTTTTTTATAGGCTGTACCTGTCGACGCACACAGGCACCAGATTAGTGATGGAGCATCATGGACCATTATTTCGACTGATAAAGCAAGTCTTACTGGATGTACATTAAGATCAGATTTTCTAGTAACAGAAGATTATTTGTTGCATTCATACTATATATTATCCTCATAAGTCTTATAGAAAAAAAAATGGATGAAAGAGCAATTCTATTTTAAGTTTTCTTGCTCATCGATATTCTGCCTTAGGCTGAATATCGATTTTACGAAGCAATGGGACCAGTATGTCAGCCAGTGACACCGGTACCTGTCGTCAACGGAATGGAACTCTATGGCGATGGTGAACTTGCGCGAGTTGATCTCATTGGTTCTAATTTCAGAACAAATCTTAAGATTTGGTTTGGTACCATGCCAGTGGACACTATTTTTAGGTGAATTAATTTCATGATGTATGGACGAAGACCTCCTAATTTTTGTGACCAGAACTTTGTCTTAGCTAACAAATTACTTTTAATAGTCTTTTGTTTTAGATTACTCGAATCATGGTCACTGTTAGTATTAGGTGCTTAGAATAAAGGCACTGTAATTATGGGCGAAACTTTATTTCTGCTTATTTTCATAGCATTTTCCATCCTACTTAAATTCTTTTGTCTCGGTTTTATTTTAAATACTACGTAGGAACAAATTTTCAGATCAGAAGAAATGATGGGCTGCCTTGTACCTCCACTTTCTTCTGTATGTCCTAATTGGGTACCATATAGCGGTGAACCAGCTACAGTACCTTTGTCTTTGGTTCGTGATGATGGCGTTATTTACTCTACTAATATGGTATTCAGCTACAAGAGTGAAACGATGACGCGATCGCTGGCAAATCGGAGATATGAAACCAGAATTTGACTACTTTTTTCTTATTTGGAAAGTAAAAAGAATTGTTTCTGCTTTACAATTTATTTAAAACATTTGGAAAAGCGTTAAATTTTAAAAATCAGTCGTTGTCTACTTGACTAGTAACAGCAGTAATAAATCTGGGCCAGAATACGCCTAATTTTGATGTAGTTTTTTTTTTTTTTAAACTTAAAACGTACTAAAAAATAGCGATTGCTCTTTTTATAGTTCTACTTTTGTGCTGTATGATATATAAAAGTATTCTGAATTATCTTCAACATATACTTTCTTTTTCCGAGCATTGCTTCCGGGTAATTACGTAAAATCAAAATTTTGGTTTTGCAGTAATTTTCACCATTATTAGTTTCTGTTCAATTAGAAACGTTGACTATTAAAATAATTGTTGGTATTTTGCTACGTTGACATAAAAAAGGTATATGAATTATTTTATGTTATTTTCAGTTATTATTTTTAATGTTTCCACTCATCTATTGTGTCAGAATTTAGACTGAATTTATTTTCCTAGACTTTTACCTTCATTTCGAGATATAAATACTGTATTGTCTTTTTCGTTTAATTAGTAATTGTTTTTTTCAAGGACTGATATTTTATGATGCAGCAAAAACTCTAATATGTTAAAATCACCTTGGACAGTTCAAGATCGAAATTCTGTAATTATTTAAACTTCTGAATTCGTGAAACATTATTATATGAGAATCTTGGTCTTAAACGAACTGAAGAAACTGTTGTATGAGTATTTATTCTGAGTAAAATGTTTTAAATTGAGCTTTGGATGAAATTTATAAATTGCAGTCGATTGGGTTTCTGCAGTACTTATTATTTCCTCCTGATGTCTTTCGCACTCCATGTGGACACTTCTTGTTTCCTTTAGAATCGCGTACTGCTATGCATTTGCTTTCTTGGAATTCTGAATCAGTATTTACCGGACAGACTAGCATTAACTGTGTTAACCGTACAGACTCTTACTAAAATCTATTAAGAGCTTTTAAGCAAAAAAAAAAATTAGAATAGATCAAATTCGACGTGGTTATCTCAATGCGAGCGAAGTTAACATAATGCTACTGTCAAAATAGTGATTTACCTCGTTCACAAGGTTTAGTTTGTTGAAGACATTTTCGAATATCCGTTTGGTTTGTGCACTTTAGGTAACGGTGCTGCAGATGGGATTTGTTGCACTTTGACCATCGTGTGTAGTCGTCTTTAACTGGATCATCCTAGAATTGACATGCATAAATGGTTTATCTAACTTCACAGTAATAATAAATCTTAAGGAAACGTTGCTATTCAGTTTCATTGTAATAATGTTCAAAAAAACCGCGTAGTAAACTGTCAATAACAGCAAGTAATATTAACCCGGAAAACACCATTGTTCAATTTTTGTTTTGATTTTCGAACTCTTGGGACTTCGAAATAAAACATCCGAACTCCTTGGTCTTCTGCTACAAATACGTTCGCTCGAGTCTCACGACTTTCCGCATTCAGCAAGCAGTTCTAAAAATGATGAAGCCTTATGTAATTAAGCTCCACTTAACTGGTACAAGGCTTGTGTAGAAGTTATGTTTTCCATTTCAACTCAAAACTCATTCATCTACAGAAAAAGGCGATTTCAAGCACGATATTCCTTATCAGGTTTTATTAACAAGATTGTTAAGACATAATTAATAGTAATGCAGCTGACTATTAAATCTAGCCTCGTTATTCTTTATAAACTATAATGGTTATTCTATTGGTTGTTAACAGTTTTTAGTGATTGAATAAATACTTGTTCTGCATCGTTTGGATACCACATTGCCGATCGACATACAAATGAGAGCTCTTGTTCAGCTCGTAAGCAGGCCGTCATACACTCAGCGAGAGATGATGAGTCGGCTACTTCCATGACATGACCAACTAAAATATGATCCAGAACTGTTGGCCAAAGCTTTTCTGTTTCTGCTGCCATACTTTTTGGTAAACATATCTGAATCGAAAGCAAATGGACAAGTACACACGTGTACTACCAAAAATTTTAATATATAAAATTTGAGTCGTGAGAAATTGTGAATTTTCAAGATTAGCTTATGCAATTGACGAGTATTTGAGGTAAATTAATTGATGGCAATTTATTTCTGATATTTACCAAAATGTTTGTGGTTTTCAGATTCACATTTATCGAGTCCCTACATCGAAGTTCTTACAGAAATAAAATATTAAAAGGTATAAGAATTCATGAAAATAGCGCTCACTCTTTCAAGATATGTACTATTATCATTGAAAATAAAGTCGTCTCTGTTTTTATGTTCAGCCTTTGAAACTGATAATTCACAGTCTTTATCTGTGTGAATTGCGGATGAGCTAAAAATAATCTGGACTGAAAAAAAGAGTAAGCAATGTAGATAGAGTCCAAAAATTTGTAATGTTTTATGTCGTTTGATGATCAAAAACAAGACTGATTAAGACAAGACAAGGCTGATTTATTTTTCATTTAAAAGCACTAAAAAGGAATTATAATTGCTTCTGGAATTTCTGAAAAAGTATGTCAGAAACAAGAATTTTTCATGATTTTAGATTGAAAAACTGCGTGAAAATTTAATTTTTAACTTTTTCCTTATTTTGAAGGATTAAAAATAATTTAGTTTTCAAACCAAGTAAGTGTCTCATCACGATCGCATGCTTCAGCACACAATTTCATACTTCTTGCTCTTACAATCTGTGTGTCAGTCGCTGCATTCAGCCGTTCATGATTAAATATTGTTGCATAACGCGTTACATCATCATATTTGCAAAAATTTTCACCGCTTTTGCCAACTGATTTTTGATGTATAGCCTGAATAAATTTAGAATTAAAGTATTAATTCTAAATTTTGGATCTGATACTTTATTCCTTGTTTTTGACGGCTTATTTTTCAAAGATTGCGACTATATTTACTTGTTTTCAGTTTGTAAGATTTAAGTAGTACCTGGTAATCTGAAACTGGTTCAGAATGAAGTTCGTTTTGACTAATCTCAGCAGAAGACGCTGTCAGATCATTTTTTTCAATGCTGTTTGTATCAGTGATCGTTAAGTATTGTAAAGTTTGGACAGAATGGCCCTTGATATATCTATAGTGTTTCCTGTGTTATTTTTGTAATCCATTTGGATCATAAAAACTTTACAAAATTGCTAGCTCTCAATAAATATTACTTGTAACACCAAAAAAAATCTTCATATAAATGAATAATAGGAAATTCAAAAATGTGTTTGTTGAGCAAAAAAGAGGCATGTAGGATTAGCGATTTCTTAGCTGCTTTGGATACAAGTATAATAATTATTAATTCAGTTACTTGAAAATGGTGTACGTACTCAAGATAATCTCTCTCTGAATATTCAGTCAGAAAATGAGGTAGATTTGTTCCATTAACAGCAAACAAATCGCAGATTTTCCAGCGATGATCATATGTTAACGATCGGCATATCCACTCAGACTTGTGATCCTGCATTTAAACGGCATAAATTTGTAGCATACTAGAAAAGAGTAAGAATACAATTAATGCGCAGTATTTGGAAAAGTGTATTCTGGTGAGTTTTTAATGATTAGTCTTGTAAATCTAAACATTCTAACCTGGAATTTTAGACATTTTTCAATGCATTCCTCGCAAGTATAGCCAGTTGTACGATCAAACATAATCGCGTTTGCTATTGCGGTTTGAGGTTCGAAACGCCACGAGTTTTGATCTAAAAATGTACAAGTTTATTTTCATTTAATGTTTTTCAATATTAGTTTTGTATTTTGATAAATTAAATACTCCTGATAAAGGAAACATTCATGTTCCCGCTGAATTTGTAACTATGATTGAAAATGCAGTGGGAACGCCTCCATGAAAATATGATAGAAGAGACCCAAACGTAGTATAATCTTTATTTATTTAAACTTACCAAACGAGCACTTCCCAGCACTTTTAGCATTTCGTCTTATTGGTGGCGGGGGTGGTCTATACCCAAATGACGGTTGCTTTGGAACACGTGGAGGAGTTTTAGGTGCATTTGGCTCCTCATAGTTATCCTCTGAATTGGATGAATTTTCTTCGACCGCTAAGTCAGTCAAGCCCACATATTGTGAATTTGTTTGACTCAGCAACACTAATGTACAGATAATAAATAGCATGGGAGAGCTTACCAATTTGTAGCAGTTGCAATTGTAAAGTACCGGGAAATGGTTAGGTATTTGTCCCAAGTTAAAACGTTAAGTAGGGTAATGAGGGCGGGACATCATGGATTGAATCCTCGGAAACGAGAGATGATGCAGTTCGGAAGATAACTGGATGACCTGGATCCTTCACTACAGCATCTTTTATTGCCCCGAATTTCTCTCGTGTGTATTTACAAATGCATTGCCCTTCTTTCATAACAACGCTCTTTTCATTTCCGATTATATATATTCTTTGGATATTTCCTTCCTGTCACTACTTTCTTGTTACTGGTCAAACCTGTATTCCAACACTCTCATTTTTTTTTTCAATACAATACAGTTAGCAAATTATTTTCAAGTGTAGCTTCTTTTTCTTCAAATAATTATTGCTTCTAGAAATTCAAACTATAAGCAACTTCTTTCAAAAGAGTAAGGAATGCAGTTTAAAAGAATTACTGCAGTACAAAACTTCGTTAGAGAAAATATTTGCTCTGAATAATGCATGCATAAGGGAATATAGCTTACTCATGAAAGCAAACTTGATAGTAAAATTTTTCATATCTGTAGAAAATTAATGCCTAAAGGCATAAAAAGATTAAAATTCCTAAAACTACACTTTTATATTATGCATTCCTTACAGGTACTGCACGACTCACATCAAATCGAACGATTTCTATTCATTACGAGAACCGTACTTCCCTGAACCATGGTACGTAAGAGGTATTAGATCATCAAAAGTTGAAAGTTTAATTACATTACATCAACATCATTGAGTTAGTGCACAGCAGTATATTTCTAAGTGTTTTGATAATCAATGAAACTGTTCACAAAATATGACCCTATTCCACTTTTGTTTGTCATTTCGACGAAATTTTTTTTCACTGAAATATTTTATGGACTGCACAAAAATTGTCCTCTGATCCACAGTTTTATCTTACACTTAAGAAGTAGCAAAGCATAGTTTTAAAAATTATTTTTTATCATTCAGCGATAATGAATAAAGGTCATGCAAATACACAAGGCCATTCTAAAAGATCTGCAACCAAATGAATCAAATGAGAAAAGAACAATATTACTGAAAATGATTGAAATCACGAAAAACGGTGAAGAAACCTTGCCATAGGATTTTCATAATGAAAACTATTGTTTCACGCAACAAGGATTCTGTTGATATCAAGTGATTAGCAAATCAGTGAACAGATTAATAGTGATAAATGCTGATCATTTTAACACGTACCCAGGAGGGACTTTGAATGACTACCTTTCATTAATCCAAAACAAAAAGTTCCAAATCAAAATTCATTTTCCGTGAACGGAGTTCTGGAGTTCCGGTTATTTTATCTTCAAGAAATTACTCTCTATTTAGCAATAAAAATAAACAATAGTAGTTGTTAAGTGACTTTCCTGGAGTCACCAAACAATTGCTATTGTTGCTGTAAATGATCTAAAGATTTTCATTAATAAATTTCTAAATTATGGTTTCCAAATAGTTTTTCAAAATAATTTCAATGTAAAATTTTTAAATCAAAATTCATTTTTCTGCACGGACTACTTAACTCCATAAAACAAAAATTCATATTATTATGTCTTTTAGACATTCTCATTGATAAATTTCTGTTCACTGATTATCTTTCATCATTTAGCGATAATGAATAAAGGTCATGCAAATACACAGGGCCTTTTTTTTTAAATTATGGTTTTCGAAAATCATATGAATACACAATTAAGTTACTTTCGCAGTCAATATTTTAACCTATTTTAAATGAAATCTAAGAAATGTAATTATCTTCAACTATTAGTCTAGACTACTTTTATGAGTTGTCGTGGAAAAATAGTCAAAGCACACATAAGTAAAAAAAATTACAATAGGCCTGTTTTGAGCTAAATGCGCTACTTCCATTTTGTGTTTGCATAAGTAGTACTTGTGTCTTTAGAAACAAAACTTATTCCAGTTTCGAAAATCACAGCGCACTATCGCATTCGCTACTGCCTGATAAACATAATATATCCAGCCGACAATAAACACATAACAGAAATTAACAGATGTAACCTGACTCCAATAACTGCTGCCTGTAAGACACGACGTCAATAATGTCAAGTGTTAACTGACTTACATAGGATTTTTCAGCTTTGAATCATCTTAGTGGAACTTTAAATTACTAATAAAAAAAAAGAATATTAGAAAATAATACGTAATTAATTATACAAAGTCCTTATTTTCTTGAAAGGCAGGAAAAAAACGGATAGAAAACTATAAACTTACTTTGTAAAATATACCAAAAAATCCTTTCTTATCACTAAGAAACCATGAATTCAAACGAGGAATTCTTTTCAGGTAGGCACACGTGCAGATTAACAGCAAGCCAATAACTACAGCACCATCTAATGAATACGCTGAAAACTTGTAATAAATACACTGACAAACTTACAGGAAAATGACCCTTCTAAACAACATATTTTAATAGCAAGAAATGACTATTTAAATGAAACTCGACCATCACAACTACTAGCAATATCAAAGTTAACACAGCATATCATGTTTTTATAAATCTACGGAGCATTTTTATGAAAGTAAAAACATCGGAACTAATACTTCAAGACAAGATTATCTTCTACTTTCACATAAACGAAAACCTACCATTCATGAACGCAACAATGAGTAGCAAATCAACCAAAAAACCAAAAGTCTTAGTAGTCACTGCGAATCATTCTTGCTCAAATGAAACATCACGCATAACCACTATCATAGTAGTTCATTTTTTTAATGCAATAACTATGTCCAAACACAAACATTGTGTTGAAGAAGATTGAAGTGCGAAGCAACTATTATCCTTATCAGCACACAGTAAAAAGAATTAAGATCAGCTTAAAAAAGTTAAAATCATTATAAATATTAAGAATTTTCTCCTAATTTCAGTCATATGACTTGTAGACAAAAAATTTAGACACATCAATAAAAATTGGTGTAATATTTTATGGTTTGCTGGAAAGTGTTGAATCTGAAATACAGCACTTACGATTTGATGTTGCTATTTGAAATATATGAATTATAATAGCTAAAAATGAGTATAATTCTCTTTCTTATTTTCAGTCACTATTTGAAACATTGATGTTGTTGCTTATCTCAGTAAATTAACAGCATTAGGAATTTTTATAACATATTGGAGTATGATATCACTGACCTCTGTGTTAGGTTTCTGACATTCTTTTTCATATCTGAGTGCTGTTGTTTCAAAAGATTTTGTACATTATATTCAGATATTCTTGTTTTTTGAAAGGTTTTTTTTAAATTAACATATGCAATTCTACAACTTAGTATCATACATAATGTTTTGTAATCATAATTTGCATTTAGAATCATTGCTACTTTCAAGATATGCTAGTATTGACAGTATTGACGTATAATTTTCCGTTAATTATTATGACTTTACGAAATGGGCAAGAAAGAAGAAGATCGTTTAAGAATACTGAATCTTTTTAGCTATTTCTTTCTACACTAATGAAAAAAAATCTTCAGTTTTGATTTGAAAGCAAAGCAATTCAATCGTAAATGAAATCTCATGTTATTTCAACTTTTTTTTGAATATGAAAAAAAATGCTTCAAGATCAGCAGTAACAAATTTATTTGAAATGAATCTATTTGCATTGATAAACGTTAAATGTATAAAGCTTGCAAACGTGGTTTATGTGAGTAAAACTTTCAATTTGTTTCTTCATTTTTTTTTTTGTTTTGTTTTTCTTCCAATAAATCGTTAAAATTTTAAAAATTTGCATGTTTTTGACAACTAAAGAGGCAAAAAGTCAATCAGTTTTTGAATTTTTATAGCTTATAGCTACAACACAAGCAATAGAGTTAATGTTGTAACAGTTGTTTGCGTCAACAAACTTAGAACCTTTCAACTTTAACTTTCTCACTGATCTTTTCTAAAAGCTATTTCTTGTACTATTTCTCTTTTGCTTACTTTCAAGTTTTCTCTCTCTTTAAATACTAACAGATTGTTCATAGCTGGAAAGGAATAGTTTTTCACTGAATTTGTTGTAAAGAATTTTTAACATGACGCCTTATTTCTATACTACTACTGAGAAAGTTTAAAGGTGTAATACATCTCAGTCAAAGTATAGAAAGAATAAATTGTTACTCTGCTTCTTAAGCTTTTCACTCAGCTATTTTAAGGTTTCCTCACGTTCAGGACATACTTCTCAAGCTAATAGTGAAGTAAACCAACTGTGCAACTCCTCTTCAAAACATCCCTCAAATTGTTCATGCTTTACTGCTTCAACCTTTCAAAAACTCATTAGCATTTTGTGCAAAACTAAGTCAGTCACTTTTAAATGTTTTGTTTTAGAAAGAAGCAAGCTATCATTATTTTTTAATCACTTTCCGCATTTATAACTTTCTAATTTTTAGAATAATATAAGGTTTGCTTTTGGAGGTAAATGAATGCTCAAATTTAGTTTAAAATTTTTTAAACGCAATAGAATTAACAGGTCATAGTTTTAAGATTATATTTTCATTATAAAATGAAAGAATTAAGCATTTAACAGTAAGCTAGACTTAAAGATTAATATTTAAATAGTAATTTCCAGTTTTGCATTACTTTGATTTTATCTGACAAACTTTGAAAAATTTGGAAAATCACATGTTTTTTATAGAATAAAATTTTTGATTTTAAGCATTGCTTTTTATTATATCAAATGTATTTTGATTTTTGCAAATTATACAAAGCAAAATATCTTTGTAAGAAATTATGATGTTATTTATTCTGATTTACTGTGAAACAGAAAAAACGACTACCACCATTCTTAGTATATATGCTTTTTACTTCAACTTTTCTAATGACTGAAAATGGTTAGTATTCGAACGTTTTATAAAACCTAAATGTGATTTCCAGGCCTCCGCTTTTAAAATAAGAATTTGTTATGTTCCAAATTTACTATTTTGTATAATTAGAGATAAATTGAAGCATTCGTTCATAGTTAACTGAGCACAAGAAAACTTAGACTTCATCAAAATTTATTTAAAGCAAGCAAACTCCTTCCAATATGTCTGAATTCCAAAGTGAAAATGAAAAAGATCCCGGATGGAAATACTTGCGGCAAACTCGTGAGCAGATGGCTGCTGTAAGTTTTAAATTTTAATTTTTATCTACACCAAAAAGAAAATGTTTTTAATCGACATGCCAGTCTGCTTATAAAACATAACACATCGTTGGAATACTAGTTGAAATGAGAGCAAGCACTTTTTTTGCGCATATATTATTTGCAAGATATAATGTTTTGACATTTAAATTAAACAGTGCAAATATTACTGGATTAGTTTTTCAAATTTTCAAAAAATTGGTTCTGAAAGCAATGGTTATTAATGGTAATATTTAATTTTCTAGTTTTGCAACTTAGTTTTTGTTTCACTTTTAATCAAAATATATGCTTGAAGGATCAAGCACGGCCATATGACTCGAAAAAAAATTGTTGGATTCCTGATGCTGAAGAAGGATATATGGCCGCTGAAATAACAAGTTCAAAAGGCGATATGGTGACTGTTGTTACTGCCCGTGGTAATGAGGTATGTTTGCCCAAATTTTATGTAAACAAGAAGTTCTTCAAATTATCAAATATTCTGACAAAAATAACATGCATCATATATTTTAGATAAAAATATATTTTTTGTTGCAAAATGGGTCTACGAAAATTGTTCAAAAAAACATCTTAAAAATTAATACATGAAATATTTTATAAGAATATGCATAAGATATTTTGTAGGTTACACTCAAGAAAGACATGTTACAAGAAATGAATCCTCCAAAATTTGAAAAAACAGAGGATATGTCAAATTTGACTTTTCTAAATGACGGATCTGTATTGCATAACCTTCGAGCAAGATATGGTTCAATGCTCATTTACGTAAGTTTTTGCTATTACTAATAATGTATATAGTCAAGAAGTACCACATAATAATTTGTACTGAAAATTATCATGCTTTTTCCATTTCAGACGTATTCTGGTTTATTTTGTGTGGTAATCAACCCTTACAAGCGCCTTCCAATTTATACTGATTCAGTTGCAACAATGTATATGGGGAAACGACGAACAGAAATGCCGCCTCATTTATTTGCTGTATCAGATGAAGCATATCGAAATATGCTCTTAGATCATGAGAATCAATCAATGCTTATAACTGGTGAATCTGGTGCTGGTAAAACAGAAAATACCAAAAAAGTAAATCAATTCTTATGTTCTTCATAACATTCAAGAAAAATAGCGTTAATTAGTCATAAAACGTCTACTGAATAATAAATTAAAATATAAATTTATCGAATATTATCCAATATTATATTACATGTCTTATAATTGTATGAAAGAGTTGTGTTATATTTTTTATTACTCCATTAATTTCTTCGGATATGTTCTTATTGTTGGACGAATATTACTTCAAACTAGTTAGTGATGAAAATTCGAAATACTAGTGAAATGAAGCGTAGAATATAATCTATACTAAATAAATTGCAGGTTATTGCATACTTTGCTGTGGTTGGAGCATCACAGTCAAAAAGTGTGGAGGGCCAAAAGAAAGTTACGCTGGAAGATCAGATTGTGCAAACAAATCCAGTTTTAGAAGCATTTGGTAATGCTAAAACTGTACGTAATAACAATTCATCACGGTTTGGCAAATTCATCCGGATTCATTTTTCAAAGCAAGGGAAAGTTGCTTCCTGCGACATCGAGCATTGTAAGTTTTTTTCTCTGCAAGATATTGTCTACGTCAGAAGTAAATTGGAGTGAAATGTATCTAAAGCAATAAACAAATCGTATTCATTTACTGATCGCTGTACAAAAAGTACTTTAGATTTGCTGGAAAAATCGCGTGTTATACGTCAAGCTCCTGGAGAACGATGTTATCACATTTTTTACCAAATCTTCTCTGGTTTCAAACCAAATCTTAAGAAAGAACTTCTGTTGGACCAGCCCCTCAAAACTTATTATTTTGTTGCGCAAGCTGAATTAACTATTGATGGTGTAAACGATAAGGAAGAGCACCAGCTGACAGATGAAGCTTTTGATATATTAAATTTCTCGGCAGAAGAGAAAGGAAATTGCTATCGTTTGGTTTCAGCCATTATGCACATGGGTTGTATGAAATTTAAGCAGCGACCACGTGAAGAACAAGCAGAACCAGATGGAACAGATGAAGCAGAGAAAGCTGCTACCATGTATGGAATTGATACTGAAGAATTTTTAAAAGCTCTTACGAAGCCAAGAGTCAAAGTTGGTACTGAGTGGGTCAATAAAGGACAGAATGTTGATCAGGTGACTTGGGCTGTGGGGGCAATGGCAAAAGGTGTTTATGCTAGAATTTTCAAGTGGCTTGTAACAAAATGTAATATTACTCTGGATCAGAAAGGTTTATCACGGGACTACTTCATTGGAGTTTTGGACATCGCGGGGTTTGAAATTTTTGATGTAAGTTTAATATTGATTATATATGTTTTACAAATTACAAAAACTTAAAGAAAATCCCAAATGTGTAAAATATACCCAAAATTTAGAACAGTCTTCAAGCAGTTCCAAAAATATTACCTGTATTAATTTGATGAGCAGTAGTTGTCAAGTAATATATGGATCATGATTTTTTTTTCAGTTTAACTCATTTGAACAACTTTGGATCAATTTTGTAAATGAAAAGTTGCAACAATTTTTCAACCATCATATGTTTGTCTTGGAACAAGAAGAATATGAACGGGAAGGTATTCAGTGGACATTTATAGACTTTGGTCTTGATTTACAAGCTTGCATTGAACTAATAGAAAAACCATTAGGAATTATTTCAATGCTTGACGAAGAATGTATTGTGCCAAAAGCCACTGATTTGACTTTGGCCCAGAAACTGATTGATACTCATCTTGGTAAGCACCCCAACTTCGAAAAACCGAAACCACCCAAAGGTAAACAAAGTGAAGCACACTTTGCCATGAAACATTATGCCGGTACTGTCCGCTATAATGTTACCAATTGGCTGGAGAAAAATAAAGACCCACTGAATGATAGCGTTGTATCCGTCATGAAAGCATCCAAACAAAATAATCTCTTAGTAGCTGTGTGGCAAGATTACACAACTCAAGAAGAGGCTGCTGCAAGCGCGAAAGGTTTTTATTTCGAGAAAAACATTCAACTTCAATAAAAATCTAGACAAACTTTATTTTTGATACTTAAAATAGCTGATTTTAGTTTTAAAAATAAATAGTGCATTCATAAACATTGCATGGAACTACAGAGATAAATAAATATAAGAATTTTTATTCACAATAGCATTAAGAATTTATCCATTTTTGGTTTTGTAGAGCACTAGTGTTTTTGAAAATCTTCATGAAAAAATCTTCCCTTACTATCATTTTAAATTGAAATTTAAATCATATAATTTGTTTGTATTTGTTTAACGCAATTTAAAATTATATAATTTGTGAAATTTATATTTCATTTTAGTTTGCAACTATAATAGATATTGCTAAATAGAAAGATGTCATTCAAATTATATGGCTAATGCTTAATGTGTGATCATTTTTAATTTTTGCTGAAATAATACAAAAATCCATATATTATAGAAGGAGGTGGTGGAAAGAAGAAAGGCAAATCAGGGTCGTTCCTTACGGTTTCCATGATGTATCGAGAATCACTGAATAGCCTAATGACTATGCTGAACATGACTCATCCCCATTTCATCCGCTGCATTATTCCAAATGAAAAAAAAACGTCCGGATTACTCGATGCTTCTCTAGTTTTGAACCAACTTACTTGTAATGGTGTGCTCGAAGGCATTCGTATATGTCGTAAAGGTTTTCCAAACCGTAATATACATTCTGATTTCAAACATCGTTATGGAGTACTTGCTGCTAAAGAAGCTAAAAGTGAAGATGATCCTAAGAAAGCTGCGGAAGCCATGTTAAGCAAACTTGTAAATGAAGGGTCATTAACAGAGGAGAATTTCCGCGTAGGAAAAACAAAAGTTTTTTTCAAAGCAGGTGTTCTAGCACAATTGGAAGATCTTCGAGATGTAAAACTTGGACAGGTACTCAGTGGATTCCAGGCCAGGATTCGTTCCTACTTGATATTAATTGATCGCCGAAGCCGCATGCAGCAACGTCGTGGATTGTTGATAGTTCAAAGGAATATCCGCTCCTGGAGCGTGTTGCGTACTTGGGATTGGTTTCTTATTTATGGCAAACTCAAACCTATGCTAAAAAGTGGTAAGGAAGCTGAAGAAATCGAAAAAATGAATGAGCAAATCAAAAAACTGGAAGAAAGCATAGCAAATGAAGAAAAAGCTCGTAAAGAATTGGAAACAAAATCTACAATATTGCTAGAAGAACGCAATAATGTTTTCAATGAACTAGAAGCTGCCAAAGCACAATTATCAGATGCGGATGACCGTCTCAACAGGCTTTCAATATTAAAAACAGATGTTGACAAACAAATTCATGTTAGTTTTTATTCTTTCAAATGGCATTTGTAGTAAATTATTCCCAGTGAACAGAGATAAAATAATGAAAAGTAAAGATAATCACAAATCAACTTAAATAGGGAAAAAAATTAACCTTAAATTAAACGTGTTAATATTGAATTAAAATTTTTTTTTAGAACTATTTTTAGTATATATTTCTGATTATAGGAATTAGAGGAGCAGCTTGGAGATCAAGAAGATCGCAATTCAGATCTATCACGAACAAAAAAGAAAATTGAAAATGAAGTAGAAAATTTGAAAAAAGGAGTTACAGAATTGGAATCTCGATTGCAAAAAGCAGATATTGATAAGCAAAGTCGTGAGCAGCAAATTCGAACTTTGCAAGATGAAATGCAACAACAGGATGAAAATATTGCAAAGCTGAACAAGGAGAAAAAGCATCAAGAAGAAATAAATCGAAAATTGATGGAAGATTTACAGGTCGAGGAAGACAAAGGCAACTACAGTAATAAACTGAAAAGCAAATTAGAGCAAAATCTTGATGATCTTGAAGATACTTTGGAACGAGAAAAGCGAGGGCGAAATGAAATTGAAAAACACAAACGCAAAGTTGAAGGAGAATTAAAAGTTGCCCAGGAAAATATGGAAGAACTTGAACGACAAAAGCATGACATGGAAAGTAATCTGAAGAAGAAAGAAGCTGAAGCTCAAGCAATCTTAGCGCGCCTTGAAGAAGAGCAAGATCTTGTTGGAAAGCTTAAGAAACAAGTTAACGAAACGCAAAATCGTATAACTGAATTGGAAGAGGAGCTCGAAAATGAACGCCAGTCACGAAGTAAAGCGGAACGAGCAAAGTCAGATTTACAACGTGAATTAGAAGAATTAGGAGATCGTTTAGATGAACAGGGTGGTGTTACGGCTGCTCAGTTAGAAGTAAACAAAAAACGAGAAGCAGAATTAGCAAAGCTTCGTCGAGATCTAGAAGAAGCTAATATGAATCATGAAAATCAATTAGCAACGATTCGCAAAAAGCACAACGATGCGGTTGCAGAACTTGGTGATCAAATTGAACAGGCACAAAAAACAAAAGCTAAAGTTGAGAAAGATAAACTGCAAGTGCAACGGGATGCTGAAGATCTCATAGCGCAGATTGAGGGTGAGACAGCAGCAAGAATGAATAATGAAAAACTTGCAAAGCAATATGAAATGCAAATTGCAGAACTTCAAACCAAATGTGATGAACAAAATCGACAGCTTCAAGAGTTCACAACACTAAAGACACGACTCAGTAGCGAAAATAATGATCTAGGGAAACAGATTGAAGAATCGGAATCACAAGTGAATGCAATGACACGCTTAAAAGCACAACTAACTTCACAGTTAGAAGAAGCCAGACGTTCATTAGACGAGGAAGCTCGAGATCGGAACAATTTAGCAGCACATATGAAAAACTGTCAGCACGAAATTGAGCAAATTCGTGAATCAATGGAAGAAGAAATTGAAGCAAAGAGCGAACTTATGAAGCAACTAAGCCGCGCTAATGCCGAGATTCAACAGTGGCAAACCCGTTTCGAAAGTGAAGGCCTGTTAAAAGCTGATGAGCTTGAAGAGGCGAAAAAACGGCAAATTCAAAAAATAAACGAACTTCAAGAAGCAATAGATGCAGCCAATTCAAAAATTAGCTCTCTCGAAAAAACGAAATCTCGCCTGGTTTCTGATCTTGATGATGCTCAGGTAATTTCAATAAATTAATTTCTTTTTCTAGCAAGATGTTTGAAAGTTTAAGTGATCATTTTACAAGACTTCTCAAAGTGAGAAAAAAGTTTTGTTTCAGGAAGCGTTTTTTTTTTAAGTGCATTAAATTTTACTCTAATGTCTGTTTATTTTTAAGATGGATGTGGAAAGAGCTAACTCTTATGCGAATCAACTTGAGAAAAAGCAAAAAGGATTTGATAAAATAATTGACGAGTGGAAGAAGAAAACAGATGATTTGTCTTCGGAAGTAGATAACGCACAACGTGAAGCGAGGAACATGTCAACTGACCTGTTTAAACTGAAAAATGAACAAGATGAAGTTTTAGAAACGATTGAAAGTTTAAAACGGGAAAATAAAGAACTGACACAAGAAATTAAAGATTTGACAGAACAGTTGAATGAAGGTGGCCGTTCTGTATTTGAAATGCAGAAGATAATTCGTCGTTTAGAAGTCGAAAAAGATGAGTTGCAACATGCTCTAGATGAAGCTGAAGCTGCTCTCGAAGCTGAGGAAAGTAAAGTGCTTCGAGCACAAGTAGAAGTTTCCCAAATACGAGCAGAAATTGAAAAAAGAATACAAGAAAAAGAAGACGAATTTGAAAATACGCGAAAAAATCATCAAAGAGCGATCGAATCAATGCAAGTAAGTTGTTGAATGTATTTCGTACTTAATTTTGAAATTCTATAAAAGTAAATAAGAAAACTAAAAACTCTATATAAAATCATTCTTTGTTCATTGCTTTCCCTCATTCAAGTTGGCCAGAATAACTGATAATCGAATTAGTCACATGAAAAGATGATTTTAAATTGTAGGCATCATTAGAAAACGAAACGAGAAGCAAAGCAGATTTGATAAGATTGAAAAAGAAGTTGGAGTCTGATATTAACGAACTTGAAATTGCGCTAGATCATGCCAATCAAGCCAATGCTGAAGCTCAGAAGAACGTGAAACGTTATCAAGACCAAATGAGGGAGCTGCAGCAGCAAGTTAACATTTGAATAAATTTTTAATTTGTATTTCACTATAGATGCTGCTATGCATAGTTTCACAGCAAGTACCTTTCGTCTAGTAAAAATTCAATAGTTGCAGGTTGAGATCGAACAACGAAATCGGGAGGAAATTCGTGAACAGTATCTGAATGTGGAAAAAAAAGCAACTTTACTGCAGTCAGAAAAAGAGGAGCTATCTATAGCTATGGATCAAGCAGAACGAGCTCGCAAACAAGCTGAACGTGATGCTAATGAAGCACACATTCAATGCAATGAGTTATCTGCTGAAGCTGAATCACTAACCTCCATGAAGAAAAAACTTGAATCCGAACTTCTTGCTGTACAAGCCGATCTGGATGAAACTTTGAATGAATACAAAGCGTCGGAAGAGCGCAGCAAAGCAGCGAGTAGCGATGCTGCACGACTTGCTGAACAACTACAACAAGAACAAGAAAACTCGTTGCAGATCGATCGGATGAGGAAGGCTTTAGAAACTCAGT